AAATTAGAAAAGGATGAGAAATAGGTTTTTGGCATGAAAGGCTTCATGCAGCCTCTATAACAGGTTCCCTACGTTGTACAGCATGAACTTTCTCTCTTGCTCCAGAAACTACTCAAACATAAAGAGGATGGAGATCAAACCCATTAGTGTTTTGGCAAGTTCTTTTCTTCCTTTAGATTGGTTGGAACTTTTGTCTTTGACAGAATTGACAAAGGCGGGGGGGAGGGGTCACTCATTTTGCATAACTAACGTATAAATTAATTTTCAGTAGCACCGTTGCTGTGTAGGACGTCAAGTTTTCAGCATGCTGTGTGTGTATAAAATTATTTTTTAGTGGAGGACCCATCTTTTAGTGGTTGGTTTATGATAGGACCCTGCTGTGCTTGACCATGCCAAAAAAAAAAAAAAAGCCTAAGTGCAATGGGTTGATGAGATGGAGACTTGAGTGAGAGTTGCATAACGCGTAATTAATTGAAGTCCAAATCACCATCGACATTGCATTAATAGCTTCACTTTGAGGTAGCTTCTGCTCTGACGTATCCCATTGAAATGAGTATATATCTCTAGAGTGAAGTTTAAAAATGAAACAAACTTATTTCAGTCCTTTACACGTGTCAAAGCATATTGATTTTTGATAGTCTCACATTAAGTAGGTGTCAGTGTATGATACAGTGAAGTGAAAATTAAACCCATGTGTAAGGCGTCTTTAATGGTGGCCTAAATCTTCAAAAATGGTGAATGATTGAGTGCCTCCATTTTTGGGTGCCCAACTTGACTTCTAAACTTGACTTCTGATTTTTCAGAGGGAAGGTGTACAGCACTTCTGCAAATCAGGCCCCTTTAAGTTATCTCAGTTCAGCACCCAAAAGTTGAGCTACAAGACTTACCTGATGATCAGTAAAAGAAAAATAACTATTTTTTTCCATATTCTGAGTGTGTGGACTGACGGGTCACTGTGGGAGGAGCTGGTGAAGTGATACTGAAAAGCAGTTTGGGCCCAATGATTTCAAACCGCAAACAAAAAATAGCCATATTGTTCTGTGCTTTGTGTTCAGGATTGGTGAGTTCTTTGCTCTCAATGCAGGATGTGTCTGATGGAAATATCACCTACAAAATCGTGTATGTTTAAAAATATGTATTAGTCTTGGTGGCGAAACCTACAATGCCCAACAACATGTGCATACCACATTTCCTCTCTATTATATTTAATGTTGGTTTTGTGTTATTGAGGTTGCAACATGCGATCTTTTTGCTACCCCTGCAGCATGTGATTATCACAGTATGATTTGTGCTCCAGTTACGCTCACATTTTTCTTTCTCTGCAATTTTTGCAGATGCATTATAGCGGGAGAAGTTGCCTTTGGTGTATGATGCTCTAAGGGGTTTTGAGTTGGTTTTTGTGTTTTTCTGCTGAATGAGAATGGAGAATTGAAATGACAGTAGATACTGAGAGCTTTTGCAACAGACATTCGCAGCTTTGAAGGCTCCCAATCTCTCACTTTTCTGCTTGCTATAGTCAGGACAAATAACCTAAACTACTTGGCCTGTTGGTTTTTATAACAGACATAAAAGATCCCTCTTATCTTTGTTTAGTTGGATATGCTAATATTCATAAGTATACAAAGAGCTTTGACTCCTCTCATTGAGCTGGCATGGAAATGTTGCTTTGAAAATACAATCCAGAGGAAGTCATGCAGTTGGTATAAATTTGGCTCCATGTTGTTGAGTGGGAAGATACCATGTTGCATGATGTTTGTTTTTTTTAATTCTTCCTTTGTTTTAAAACTTGCTGCCCCACATACCAGTCATCTCTTGTCAATACAAGGGCTTCTGACAAAGATCCTCCATAGAACAAGGATTAGTGTAACAGGATCCAAAAGGTCACAGACATAAGAGCTTGTCACACCCTGGTGTGGGAGGATACTTGTTTTCACTCCGCTGTCATGGAGCTAATTTATTTGGTTTATCTGGCATGAGAATAAGAGGGGGAGAGAACTGAATATTCTTTAATGTGAATAGATTTTGGATGTAGGACGTATGTTTATAGCAATGCCAACTCCAAATATTCAAAAATAATGAGTCAAACAACCTCCCTAAATTCATCAGGTTGGCTTAAAAATAATGAGAATTTAATAAATTCCTTTTATTGTTGGTTTCCTTTTATTTGCCGTCTGGGTTTTAAGCCTTCTGGGTGCACATTTTCAGACTTTTCTCTGCAACCAGAAAGGCTAGGACCTTACTTTTTTAAAATCAAGCTGAGTTTCCCATGTGAGCTCTTGTCTCTAGAAGTTTGGGCTTTAAGTCAAACATCACACCTATTGTGAGAGCTGGCATTACTGTGTATGTAGCCTGTTTAGGAAGATACTTACATGAGATTATGATGATACACATGGGAAAGGAAATAAGTGAATCTTTAGAGTGAATATCAGTATTTTTAATTAAGTCTTATTGGAACCTATATAAACGGAGTAAAGTAGTTTTGGGTCATCACTGACCATCTCATTTTTGTCAACGCTGCTGGCTTTGTTGAGCTGGAGAGTTCTCCAAGTTTTCCATTGACAGAAATCCCCTTTATGCAAAATCTAACTCTCAATGTTGGATATTTGGATATGCCAGAGAGGATGCCAACGGGTCACCCTTTTTGATGAACCGTATGGGCCAGTCCGATCTCCTGAAAATGGCAATTCTAGGAATTGCTGACCATTTCCTGGTGCATACAGTGTGTAGTCCTTCAGTTATGAGGTTTGGTTTGGGGTTTTTTTGTTTTGCATTTTCCATTGCAAGGTATGAAGGACAGATATAATATACAGAACTTTGGTATAGCCAGGTGCTGTTCTCCTGGACATAGAATATGTCCTCCACCTCTTAGATAAATGAATACATAAAAAGGGGGAAGTATAGGAAGATGGCAGCCACCACGTAAATAGGGGCTTGTCGGGATTCAGATGACTATGAGCCTCAGAGGTCGGCTTGAGCTTTCTTTGATTGGAGAAAGTATGTAACTTGCTGGTGAGTGTATGTTACAGGGCCTTCTCTATGCCCAATGTGCAGAGGATATGAGTCTGTTACAGCCACAGCTAGAAAGCATTGGCTTGTTAGCTCAAGGCCCTCTCACCACAGGCGAGTGGAAATCTTTTATACACCTCTTATGCCACGGTAGTGATTGTCTCCATTAGTTAGGAATTCTTATTTTATTCTTCTTTTAATTCTATTGTTGTTTTAATAATAGTATGTATTAGTTTATTATTAACAGTTATTACATAGAAAATACGAGAAAATTGAGCAAAACAAACCCCCAAATCTGGCATTCAAGTTAAATGGTTTTAGTGGATACTTAACAGCAAAATACCATATTAATAGCGGCAGTAATGAGGCCTTGGATTGTAGGAGTTGTAGCCATAGTCATACTGGGGGTAGTAAGACTGTCCTTGTCTGTGCTGTTGGTAGCTGTTACCCCAGCTTCTTTCTGGCCACTGGTTAGATCTATTACCTCCTTGCCAGTCATGCCTGTCCCCCAAGCAAAAACTCTTATAGTGCCTGATGTTTGCTAGCTGCTTTACACCAAATAAAAAATGGCCTTTGCCCCAAAGACCTCACAAATGAAGGCTCGACAAGCGAAGGCTTGTACCATGTGGCTCTCTTGTGCCCATAATGTATCCCCATTCTGGGCGTGAGCATTGTACAGTATGTAGGCACACAGGCATCATGTTAATGGTGACCTTATACCGGGGTAGGCAATCTATGGCACGTGTGCCAAAGGCGGCACACGAGCTGATTTTCAGTGGCACTCACACTGCCCGGGTCCTGGCCACCGGTCCGGGGGGCTCTGCATTTTAATTTAATTTTAAATGAAGCTTCTTAAACATTTTAAAAACCTTATTTACTTTACATACAACAATAGTTTAGTTATATATTATAGACTTATAGAAAGAGACCTTCTAAAAATCTTAAAATGTATTATTGGCACGCGAAACCTTAAATTAGAGTAAATAAATGAAGACTCGGCACACCACTTCTGAAAGGTTGCCGACCCCTGCCTTATACAAACCCAGATAGGGATATGGATATATGTAAATGTCAGTTGTTTTCAAAATCCAGACAAATAGTGCTTTCTTCTCAGGGGATTTAGCGGCTACCGTCTTGAATTCCACCCCACGCTAAAAATTTGGAGCATTTTGGTTTTAGAGTACTTTGAAATATGACAGTAGGCATTATGGTATTAAATAATACTACTAAATGTCTCCCAAAACAGGACTGTAATTTGACCAGTGCAGGGGAACCCAAGAGAGTAGCAGTTAGATGGGTTTCCTTCTCCAAGTTTTGCCGGCTAATGAAATCCTGCTCCTGCAGGGGTTGTGAGATTTCCTTTGGATATTTCTCAACACTCTATGTGCTTTTGTATTTTCAGTTGTAGCAATGTCACAGCCATACCTTGGTGTCAGTGTTTTCCTCCGTGTGCTGTTTTCCTGAACTACAGTGCCGCAAATGTCTCAATATTTGTTGCAACCACAGTAGCTACAGTTGTGCAAACTGTTTAATAAGTATCAGCAATGTCCATAGCAAGGCAGTCGGGCCACATTCAGTAAGCGGGCAGATGCTGAAATCTAGCTGTTCTAAAAGCATTGCTGGCTCTGTGTCCCCCTTTCCAGCAGTTGGAGTTGGGCCTGAGGCAAAGAGGTGAAATGCAGAATGAGATTCAAGTCTGCCCTGCGTTGGGGTTGGCGAGCCTTGGTGTCCTAGTTCAACTTATTACATCTCTGGGCACAATTCATGAAGTTTTGGGGAACTGGATCTGGACTTTCAGTTGAGTTATTACCTCTACGCAATAAAATTAAATTAGGAGCCATAAACAGATAATAGAGAATGAATTAAGTTGGTCTACTCTATTCATCTCTTATCATTTCCTTGGTTTTTTGGCTTTCAAATAGTGTGATGAAGAGAATGCATCTAGCAGTTAACATTATTTATTTACTATATTGTTTAATCTCCCCCTTTTTCAGCACTTACAGAATCCTGCAAACTTCCATAATGCAGCTACAGAGCTCCTGGATTGGTGTGGAGACCCGAGAGCTTTCCAGAGACCTTTTGAGCAGAGTCTGATGGGCTGTTTGACGGTACGTCAACTCTTTCTGTGATGGCATTTCTTCCTCTCTCTGTGCTGTCTGTCAAAAACTGGTAACTGAGTCTGCAGTTAGTCACTGTTTTTGTACAGCATGTGGCTCCTTAATCCCCACATACTAATATCTATATATTTCATAGCGATCAGGGTGACTAATCTTAACGTGCAACTTAAGAAGGCAATAGGAAATTAATCATTTGGAGGGTAAAATCTTATATAGCTATACTGCATCTCTCTATATACACTAACTGAGCCACTAATTAGGGGAGCCATCGAAATTTCAGACAAATCTCCCCTATTGCTTATTTTTGAGGAAGTGGGTGGAAGGGCACTCTTCTGAGGTAACCAGGGCTAGTCCATCAGCTGATGAGCACTCTAGAGAAATCCATTTCATTTGGCTTAGCCTGTTTCATATGATGACGTGGGTCAAATCCTGCCTTACTACTTGTGAGAGTGCTGTTGACTTTAATGGGACTGCCTGTGTGAGTCAAATGAGCGGTGATTGATCCTAGAGCAACTATCAAATGCAGAATGTACATTTCAGTGCCTACAACAGCAGCAATTTTTGTTCTGAATGGTGCCGCTTGCCCGGCAGATTTAGGATCCAGCCCAGAAATATTCACAGAGTCAAGTAAACACTGTGCGGCGGGGGTACTCAAAAGCTTTCTTGCTATTTTCATAACATTACATAATAAAGATAAATTAAAACAAAAGCCTATAAAATAGTAAGAGAAACAAATAGATCACCTAGATAGCTTATGCCATCCTTCAGCATAAGTGCTGACAGATGCTTGTTATCCAGGCAAAAATACACAAATTGGTTTCATACAGTTTGTAAAGAGCATACATATAGCAGTTACTAAGAGCCAGATTCAGCTGTAATACTTCAAATGTTAAGGAATGGCTCCATCTTAATGCGTTCAAGTGTATAGCATCTCTCAGAACTCTGTCAAGGTATGGAATCAATCTAGTGATCTATAAGAAATTGCATATCATCCTTCAAGGCAGGAAATATTTCTTGAGAGAATTATAAATGTTATTGGGCTCCACAGACTTCTGATGATGTTTAAACTGTAAGTTGTCTTCAGCAAATTCCCCGATTTATCAAAATATACACATGATGTAATGTGGCCATAGTTATACTGTCCCTATATGTTTATGTTGTATCTGGCGATTGATAAACCCTGTGTCTGAGTTTGGTGTTTGTGAAAAGGAGACAAATGAAAGACTGGCGCATTATGAACTCACGTAGACTCCTGTGTCTGTGGGTTAACTGTGCTCACCTGGCCTCATGGCTGAAGACAGCTCAATAAGAGAGCAAGAAAGAAAAGGAATGCCCAGCTCACCCTGCTCTATTTCATTTGATTGATTCAACTCCGTGCAAGTGACAGAGAATCACCCATTTAGACTCCAAGATACCACTCATGGCTAGTTGCCTAGTTTTTTCCTGTCTGAATGATTTATTGTTATTTATTCATTTGTCTATTTTTTATTATTTGTATTGTCAGCACCTAAGAACCTTAGCCACGGACCAAGACCCCACTGTGCTAGGTGCTGTACAAGCACAGAATAAAAAGATACTCCCTGCCCCAAAGAACTTACAATGTAAACAAAGCCACACACATATAATATTATAACTGAAGCCCCCAAAGGCTCCAGTTGGTATCAGGGCCTCCTTCTTTGAGTGCTGGTCCATAAGTATATTTCACCTGTGCAGAGGTTTCTTGCAAGTAGTTCCGTTGGTCCATACCTATGCCCCTGCTCTCCATGTGTTCGTCACCAAAGGTATAAAAGGGGGGCGGACCCTCCGCCTCTCCAGTTCCTTTGTACCCCCTCCTGGCCTAAGTCAAAATCCTCCAGTATCTGGAGCTTCTCCTTTCTCTTCTTCCTGTAAATATTCAAATTCTGTATTGGTCTTAGTTTTGTTGTTGTTAGTGTTTTGGTAGTTCCTACGTTAGTGTGTGTTAGAATTCCCACCCCAGGGAGCCCTCCTGGCTTTCCAGCAAGGGATTGATCCTGGGATTATGTCCTGGCTACTGAGCTTCAAAAACTGCATCTCCTGCCCCTGCTCCTTTTTGACCTGGATGGCCACCAGCTCTGCCTCTACTGCCTCAGAGAAGCTCGGATTTCCACTAAGTACAGTATCTGCTGCTTTTCCCCCCACCAGAACACAGCAAGCATGAGAGCTTTAGTTTCAGAAGTGGAGCATGCAACAAGGTTTCAGTCAGACCCAAGCCTGGGAGACCCCCTGTGCATTGGCCAGAGTTGGCAAGGATAGGAATGCAGAGGGAAGGAACTTTTGGCTGGGCCATCTCATTAGAATAAGGGGCACTCTCCCAGACTCCCTCCTCTAGGAGGAGAGATCCCTTCCCAGCCCCATCCAAGTGGGGTGTGCGCTCATACCCAAGCCATAAGGACTTAGGCACTCCTAAATTGCATGATCGTGTTCAAAAGATTCCAAGGAGCAAGTCTCCTTCAGTACCAGTCTCTGCATCTACCTCGACACCAGCTGCTGTCCCACCTAAATAAAACACTGGGACCCGAAGGACTGGAAACTGTCGGTACCACTGAAAACTGTGATGTTGGTGACTCATTCACTGGTGGTACCATTACATTCCTGTAAGGGGCCACTGTCTATACCTACTCTAGTGGTATGAAGTGACAAGACACAACCTTTCCAGATGATATCTTCATCCTCCTGGTCCCACAATCTCCCTTGTTATTGGGACCAGTCCGCACCAGGGAGATACAAATGCCTGTGGGAGTGCAAGACTCTGGGAGAAGTCTGTCCCCTTGTGCCGTCCACTAGCAGCAGTTTCCTCTCTATAGATCTGTCAGCACCACTGATGGACCAGGATCTGACCTTTTCATCTTTGGGAGACAGATGTACCAGTGGAACCAGCTTCTCCTCCACTCAGTGAATTCAGCCCGGACATGAACAAGACTTTCCTGGAACCAGCCTCGACCACAGAGACAGGAACTTCCTAATCTGGACAGGTGGTCCCATCACAACCCAACTTCGACTCCTCATACTGGCCTTATTGGTGCCCATGGCATCTTTACACACATTACCTAGAATCCATCTGTTCCTACAGGAAATCTTACTACCCTTCTGCTCCAAGGGGACAGTCTGAATCCCCTGAGCCTATGGAAGAAGGGGAAGATGAGCTGGATCCACTGGTAACATCAGTTCTGAGACGGGTTCCATCATTGTTGCTCTATGAGGCGATTGCTCCAGCCTTTTCTTTTCCCCTGGATAAGCATAGACAGTTTCAGGAGCTCCTACGGAGAATGGCGGAAGAGCTCCACATCTCTTTAAAGGAAATCCAGGACCTTCAGCATAAACTCCTGGATATCCTGCAGCCCAGGCGCTCCAGTCGGGATGCACTTCCAGTAAATTAAGCTATATGAGAACCAGCAGGGGCTGTGTTGCTGTGGCTTGAAGAGCACCGCAGGGCCAGATGGCATGAGCCCCCGGCTATGTAGCAGTGAATCATGGCCTGGCCTGGCCAGCTCTGTGCATCTCTCACACTGTTGTCATCATGATATTTATCCGAAAGGTGGCACACAATAGAGCACTGGAAAACTAAAAAACTCACTGGTATATATTGTTGCATGCAGAGCCATCCCTTAGGTAGGGGAAATTGGGGCGACTGCTCCGGACCCTGTGCTTTGGGGGGCCACATGGGCCAGTGTGATTGGCCGGCATGTTTTCCCTGGGGTTACGCTTCAGAAGAATACATTTCAAAGGTTTACTGGACTATAAAGAGAGGGGAAGAGAACCCCTTAGATATTCTTCACCTGAGGAGCCAAAACCAAGCACTTTGGGCTCTGCGTTAGGATCCTGGCTAAGGACTGTGCCCCGATCCCCAAGAAGGCAGAGAAGCAATATTTAGTTGCAGCTAAGGAAGCAGAGTTCTTGTTCACCCACCTTGCCCTGAACTCCTTACAGGTCCAGGCAGCCACTGAATGATCCAGGCAACAGCACCCAAGGGCCCCCCTGCAGATAGGGAGGCCAAGCATCTTGACCTTATGGGGTGGAAGGTGTTTACATATACCACCACTGCAGTGTCAAATCTCAGACTATCAGGCCCTTCACGCCAAATACAATTTCTTGAATTACTCTAAGTTCCTGGACTTCAGGAACACGTTGCCTCAGGAGGACAAGGCTCAGTATCAGGCCCTTATTGATGAGGGCAAACTAGTGGCCAGAACCTCTTTACAAGCTGCAGTCGATGCAGCTGATATGGCATCAACTTCCACCGCAACCACAGTGAGAATATATACGTTATTTTCAGTAACAAACCAAAACAAACCCACCTGTAAGGAGGGTAAGACCAAACAAGGGGTGTTTCAACACCAAAGGAGAATTTTTCAGAAAGTTATGAGCAACTGAAAACAAATTGTGTATTGGACCGTCATAAGTAAGGCCCTACTTAATTTACAATATTGTGGAAACTGTGGATCCCGTAATATTAGATTTCCACTGCAATTTTTATTTTAATTAGCTCACTTTGCATAGTCCATAAAATTGCATACATTTTGAGGTTTGCAACACACACTTCTTTCTTCATTAGTACAGTAGAAGTCCATTTATCCAAGCTGATAGTGGGTGGGGCTTGTGCTGTCAGCTCCGGGTGGCTGGGGCTCCATTTATTACTTTCCATGATTTTCCATGTCTTGTCCACAACTCAGCCACAATTATTTGACAATCATACCGCAATTCAAGTAGGGCCTTAGTCATAAGCAAAATTAATATTAATTTAGCAACTGCATGCGCTATGATATTAAGAGCCAAAGCTGCTTATCTTTGGAAATGTTTATCAATTATTTTACCTTGTGGGGGATTATACTATGATTCCCCTCCCCCCCAAAAGTGTAAAAGCCTATTCATTCCATTGCAGCAGAATTATTAATTCTTTATTTCTCCAATCCCTAAAATGACCTTTGAAAACAAATTACTTTGGAACTTCATTACTTTTGGGATATAAATTA